AAGGCCATCTAGAGGTGCCATAATCATAAATTTTCTTACCTCAGCTCCAACCACATGGTGGGGCTGACGTAGTATAGACCCTCCACATGTGAAAGTCCCTATTTCAAATTCCTGGATCCGCCACTACACACACACACGCACACGCACACAACATACATCGTGTAGCATAGATCTCAACAAATGTTTACAATCAATAGGTGCAACTAGTCGTGACAAGTCAGGTCAGACAGAGAGTTCGAAATGTTTAATTTGATTCTGCTTTGTTCTACATAGGTATCGTTGGTTGCTTCTCTTCTGAGTTTCTTACTGGATATATAGGCTATACTGTGTTCGTTCACTTTGTGAAGAGAAAAAGCCCAAACCAGACACGTGATTTTTTTAACCTTACGTCAAAGAATTAAATTAGCAAACTTGCAAACAATTATACATTATTGGCCAAAGGAAAGAGTTTAATTATGTTATGTTAAGTGTAAGTGAAATTGTATTACTTATTATTTCTATCATTATCGAGCATTTTCTCTGCCAATGGCAGAATACGTGATATTTGGAAAAGACAAAAATCCACCTACTGTAATACTATACTCAATTCACGGACCGTATCATTTATCAGGTCCCAATTACTGATCCCAGTCCAAAGTGACATCAGTCTGCCATCGTTTTCTTTCGGCTAGGTCCTAGTTCCTGGTATTATTTACCTCAAGTATAGACCTTTGACAGATCTCTTTATATGACCTAAGACATTTACGGTTCATTAACACTAGGTTCCTAATGTCTGTAAATGTTGCTCACTTCAGTTCAACGTTCTTTATTCACATTCACAAATAATGCCCAATAAAAATACAAAACCCCCAGAATTTGAAGCTAATAAACTGCCAGAATATAAAATACAAATAATTAATAGGCCTATGTGTGATAATAATAATAGCATTATCATCATCAGATTAATGATAGATATCATTGTATTATTTTTAAATAGTAATTATGAGTAAAGTTTAAAAGAATTAAACTTCGAGACTTCGCGGCTTGGTAATTCTTATTAGAATGTTATATAACTGCCATTTTACAGGCGAATTGAACTAAAGCTTCGATTTTTGTTTAACTCACTGGAGTTATAGGCCTAGTAGCACCATTTGTTACTAGCATTCTAATTTCCTTCAAAGCCACATTATATGCCTATGGTTCATACAAAGATTGGTAATTATATTGAAGGGCATGCATACAGTTATAGAGTTCTACGGTGTTACGTCACGATACCACGTGATACTACTCTGTTGCTATCGTTGCAAAATGAGTTCAACCGGACGCTATTTTCACCACTGACAAACCATTGATCCCAATTTCTAACGTAATTATTAAGATGTTGTATCTTAGTTTTTCTTTGTAAATTTTAATTGATAATTAAATGTGTGTTCGATAACTAACATAATGCGAGCTTTTGTGTTTCAGTACATTTTGATGGTAAAATATTAAATTTTAAAATGCCTATTCCAGAAAGCCCATGAAGTCATTCAGGCGTAATGAACGGTAACCAACGTCTGGTTGGCGACATAGTGCGCCACCTGGCGTTGTGACGATACGACTATATGGTACTCAATACTGATTAAACATTATAGCTATCATGATTAACAAAAGCTCATAAACACATTATTGGTTGAAGCATATTGGGAACGCTGGTATAACATTTAATGTCTGTTGAGTGACGTAATTAAAAACACTGTTAGCGGTCAAAGATTGATTGAGCCGCAAGTTCCTGTTCTCCGTTCCCGTTCGTGTTAAAAAATAACAGATAAAAACACAAATGCTTGAAGCAATGAAAATCCCGATGTGCAATGTAGTGTGGATTTCTTATTGTTGCTGTTACTGTGCCAGCGCATGGCAGCATCATCGTACCACCACGGGGCAGGTGAACAACATGACCCCAGAAGAGTTTTGGTGTCTACGGCCCCTCGTGGGCTAGATACTATGTTATCATCTAGCAACCCTGTAAGATAATGGAGGAATAATTTATTCCTCCATGGTAAGATCGAGTAAATCCGGTGGAGGAACAATGGGTTGAGTCATGAGCTTAAGATAAAAATGAAAATAAAGACTTGTCATAGAAAATTCACTAAAAAGTCACTACAGTAAACAACACCATACATTTCTTGATAACCGAATCCCATGTGGATACTTTATTATTTAAACATGCATAGACACACGCTCACGCTGGGATCCTGATCTTGTAACATGTTTTGGTGGTTTTGACGAATCGTAAAAGTTTTCGAGAATCTTGATTTAGGCAAGGAGGTAGGCGAATCGTTCCATATCGTTACATACATATAACTATGTATAGCATTCGGAAAATTGGAAAAATGGCATCGACAAATTATTTGATCATTATACTACAATACTTACCACCATTTAGAGTACTTACTTAGTATAGCATTGCCGCAGACAACGTGGAATGGTCATCCTCCTTGAGTCCGAACTAAAAGAATCCCTTAAGGCACGCTTGTCAACTACATCGCTATAGCAACCTAAATTAAACGCTAGAAATCGAAGAGAAAATTCACATCAAAATACATTTCAAGATCTTTTGATTTTTTGACAAACACAATATATATAAAAAAAGTATAATAGTTGAAAAGATTAATTTGGTAAGCATACAATGTATACAGTACTGTAGCAGCCTATATCAAAAAGGTAAATGATAAAAGCAGTGTGTGTGTGTATAGATTAAAAGGCAAAATACTGGAAAACAACAATGCTGTGGGAAACAATGGCTGGATCTCAGTAGTATATGTATATATATATGTATATGTATATGTATATATATATATATATGTATATCAATATAGTGCTCAGCAATGAATACATAACCTCCTTGGAGGCGGTTATAAACTCGATCATAAAATTGAGTAAACGCTCATAAAATAATTGGTACCATCGTAAAATATTAAGTTGTAAGGATTAATAACAACAGTCCGTATGTTATCAATAGTATTCAGTTTATCGTTTGAAGTCCTATTTGTTAAGGACAGTGGTTGTAGATATCAGTGATATGTTATGTTGTGCCGCAGCTGTTGCAAGGTCAATGTTGTCTCACAATGTACTATATAGGCCTATTGCCAATATCATCTGGTTTAATTTTGTTTTATTGTTTCCTATTTTAATTAATATATCTTTTTTGGTGTCTCTTTTGATGATTTAATCTGATATAATATGCTAATTCAAAATGTAT